GCTTAGTCATGGCTCGTCTGTGTCAAACTCTGCATCGTGGTACAAAAGTATATTGTAACCGGTTCTTCACAAGCATCCAAGGTGCGGAACAAATGATGAAGAAGGAGCTATACATGACTGGTACAGTAATGAAGAACCGGGTTGCTGCAGCAGTGCAGAAGTTACCCACTGACAAAGCCATGAAAAAAGCAGGAAGAGGTACCTCAAGAGAGGTTTCCACTGAAGATGGAAAGTTGTGTGTAGTCAAGTGGAACAACAACAAACCAGTACTGATGATGTCTGTTGTTCATGGTATACAGCCTGAAGACACCTGCCAGCGCTGGGACAAGAAATTGAAACAATACGTGGCTGTCTCGCGACCAAGCATTGTTCGTGAGTACAACCTCAAGATGGGTGGAGTTGACTTGGCTGATAGAATGATTAGTTACTATCGCATGAGTGCCCGTACTAAGAAGTGGACAATACGCATGCTAATGCACTTCACGGATCTAGCTTTAGCCAACAGTTGGCTACTCTACCGTAAAGACCTTTCAATATGTGGTACACCAAAGAACAGCATCATGCAGTTCCTTGAATTCCGTATGGAAGTGGCTAGGACCCTCATGGCCCAGCATCACAGCCAAGAAGACGATGCAGAACTTTCAGAGCTGTCAGAGGAAGAAGACCATTCAGCACAAGTGAAAAAACGTCCAGTGGTGGCAGTACCCCATGTCTCAGTCCGCAGAAGGGCAAATGCACATCTCCCAGAGCTGATCAGCTTGAAGAATGCAGCATGCTGCAGAGCAGCAGGCTGCACTGGGAGAAGCCAAGAGTGTTGTGTGACCCGTAAGGTGTTCTTGTGTATGTAAGCTGATCACAACTGTTACACAGCCTTTCACAAATAGGTGTGTACATGTTCCTAAAGAAAAGGGCATTGCTAGTTTTTAATGCAAAATGTTTTGAATGTTTTATAATTTGTTGTAGGCATATGATGTCTTCTTGAAACTGTTTGCAGCATTTCAATTGAGCCATACTGTAGCTGTGACTGTCCAAAAGGGTCAAAACTGTTGTAATTTAATTATTTAATTTTGTTTATTACACTGATGTTCAAAACGTGTTAAAGAAATTTTGTACGCGTTAATAATACATGCAAAAGCAGTTGGGGAAAAAAACTGCTGTTCAGGCTGCAATTAAAGAGTTTTACATTCAATTACACAAAAATGACTTTGTTTTTTTGGAAATTCAGACCGAGTGTCCACATTTGTGTACATAATTTTTCTCTAAAACTACATCATGTCAAAAGATGATGCTTAGTTTTTATACTTATCAGGTTCCAATAAGCCCAAATAGCAAAGAGAAATAAAAAAATGCATATGTAACTAGAGCTCGGGTCTTAAGAGGGTATACATCAACAGACGTAATTGATGCGGGAATGATCGCAGGTAGCCTATCGTTCAGTAAGTCAACTGTTGCACTGCATTATGGGATTTGTAGTTTGTGTGTTATTGGCACTTCATATCGCCGGGCCATTAAAAAAAGATATATAAAATGATCCTGTAGGCCGGATGTAATTGTTCGCCGGATGTGGCCCGCGGGCCTTGAGT